TATAGAGGAAATGCACCCGAAAATAACTGAGGGTTATGTGGTACAAAGGTATTGAAGTGCATGAAAGCCTGTTTGGTGTGACCGCCAGTCTGTCATCGTCACAAGGTATACGTAGGCATGTATATATGTGCTTTATCGTGCTATGATTGTGATCATGTGATGCCTGCTGATTACATATAAATATGCATATTTAACCCTATAAAACAACCTATATGATTGCATCCGATAAGAAAAACTTAATGATAACCCTAAACTCTAAAACCCTTACAATATATTCTTACAATAAAGTATATATATATATATATATTTTAATTTATTGCTGTGTTGTAAATAGAACGATTTTTAGAACCAGTCATCTCTCTTGTGGCCAATTATTATATTATTTTGCTTAAAAACAAAAACAAATCATCCTCCTCTATCATAATAAGATTCATCAAAATAGAAATATATAAAACAAAAAAAGTAATTTTTATAAATATATATAAATATACATATAGTACATATTTTGTATATATATACGTATGCCCCGCGAGGACATACACATTTTTAAAGTGCAAGTGTTGTTATAGTTACTGTTCGCGTAGAGCTTGAGAATAGTGGGGCACGATGGCTGTACCATTGGACAGGGAAGCCAACTTCCTCGCTTTCGAAAAGAAGAATAATAGGCTAATGGCAGCACTGAGACAACCGGAATATGCAGATGTGATGGAATTCATTCGTGCGCGGAGAGCCACGGTGATAGCACCTCAGAACGAGACGCTCAAGGAGATACCCATGAATCGTAGTTTTATTGAAACACATGTCATCGACTGTTTCACAAGCGAAGGCGATAATACTGCTGATAATGCGACAACAGATGAAAGCGCTGAAGAACAGAAACTCGATGCATTTGTGTCCGTTAATGGGGTTAGGGGTGTGTTTACCACACCAGAGAAGGAGGCCTTGCACGTTTTAGCTGGACCACCTAGTGACCCAGAGGAGGTGGTTGCCGTGGTTACTGATACGGCGTCGCGGTTTGCACCCGGAAGTGTACTTAGCTCGTATGTAGCCAATACAAGGGATACATCGGACGATGTGTATGTACTGAGACACACACAGGTTACGATAGGGGATGTAAATGCAGACTTCATGATCATTTCAAGACCCCTGACCTTTGAAAAGTGCCCGTGGGAAATCGACGAGTTTGGTGCTGGGATGTTGCTGCCTACAGATAGCCATCTATCGGACTCGACACAAGGCGACTCACAGTCTGTCCCAGCTAGTATGTTAGGCTGGGTTATAGTAGGTGTTGATTGTATTGGATGTAGACAGAGATGCGTATGGTGTAAGAATGAGTGGAGCAAGTGTCTGAGTCAACACAAGGAAAGTTACAGACCGTCTCAGCTATTATGTTAAGTTGGGTTATAGTATTGCGTGTAGGTAGAGGTTCGTATGTATTAGTAATAGTTGGTTCAGGTGTCTGAGTCAGCACTTAGAGGCGCACAGACTGTTTCTGTTTAGCTGGGCGATAGTAAATGGTGGCTGTACTTAGTGTAGAAAAAGGTACGTATGTATTTGTATCGGATGGTGCATACTTAGACACCCACAGACTGTTCCTGTTAGTATGTTTAGCTGGGCTATAGTAGATGTTGGCTGTACTTGGTGTAGAAAAAGGTATGGATGTATTTGTATCGGATGGTGCATACTTAGACACCCACAGACTGTTCCAGCTAGCATGTTTAGCTGGGCTATAGTTGATGTTGGCTGTAATTGGTGTAGAAAAAGGTATGTATGTATTTGAATCGGATGGTGCATACTTAGACACCCACAGACTGTTCCAGCTAGTATGTTTAGCTGAGCTATAGTTGATGTTGGCTGTGCTGGGTGTAGACAATGGTACGTATGTATTGGTATCGGATGGTGCACGTGTGCGAGTCGACACAAGGTGACTCATAGACTATTGTAGTTGTTATGTACTCCTGGTTTATAAGAGGTATAGATTGTTATGAAAGTAGGTAGAGGTATCTAGGGAATTTGTCAAATTGCACTCATGTGTTTAATATCATCTAGACACTTTCCTACACTGGTTGATACTGCTCGCACAGGTGATATCAAAACCACGGGCGTATATTCCACGGCGGTCTTGTCATTCACCTCCCCCGTCTATGCTACTAGTAGCATGCTTTCAAGCACATATGCACACGCACATAAATGATCACTAGATCATTCTGCGAACCATAGGTGCGTTTGGACCTTGTAGAGCATGTGAGACCGATTCATTGTGTATGGGAAAATGAATGGATGCCGATAAATGCTGTGTAGGTGTAATATAAGGGGCTATAGTTCTAGCAAATGTAAAATTTAGAGCGGTAACTACATACGTATAACCATGCACATACCAGACGAACGCGCTTCCAGCACATTCCGAAAAACATGTTCACTTTGAATATGGTTTATATACTATGTAGTGACTATACACTGCTTTATGTGTGTGAATTGTGAATATATACTACTTTTCGGAAATGTGTGTTATGGGGGCATTAGGATAGTATATATTAAATATATGAAGTGTGTCGTTGGTATACGTGCTTAGGTATTCTGCTTTCGTACGCACGTAAGTGTATCCTATACTATTCATTCCTGTACACGCAGGTGTATAGATAGAAACAAGCACCCTTCTGATGTGCAAATATACACCTAACATGTATCTTACACATTTTTTTTTTAAAAGACACTAAAAAACCAACAAACCCAAATGAGTGCTGCAGCACTCAGGCACACGTTGTGCTTACCCGTCGATCGTGCGTGTCTGGACCAGCGTTTGAAGCTCCCACGCGACTCACTCTCGGTGTAACCCGGGTACAGAATATATATACGTGGAACAAAGAACCATTGACAGGCAAATGCGTAGTATCTTTCGCCCCTCTCACCAGCTCTGTACTTATGTTTCACTGTCCGCTGCAGTTGAAACACCACCTCCCAGTTATGCGACCCAGGCACACACGGGAGCCACAGCCGGCGGTGATTTGATTAGTTTCGATGATACCAACAGTAGTATAGCCAGTGCGGGAATGGAACACCCCACGGCCAGTGCGGCGAGTGAGTTGTCTGCTGTGCCTGTGACGGGTGATGCCGGGAAAGCGGTGAGGCCACTGTCGAGGGGCTCGAGTATAACCGACGGGAGAGATGGCGGTAAGGATTCGAGGAGGAAACGGGAGAGTTCGCTCTCAAGGTGTGTTAGTTCCGAGACTGGCTGGTTGACGACTTTAATCATGCATGTGTACATACGAGTTCTAAGCGCGTATACAGTTCACGTTTTTATCATTTGCGTTTAGGCTATGTTAGTGTATTGCATTCTGTTTGCTGGGTGGGATAGTTTTCAATAGATAGTTGTCGCTGATGGGTAAGAAGTGCGCCTATAATGTATTGCGCGCGAGTGGATCATCTGAACTCCGACTGATTTGTGATTGACTGCAGGCAGTAAACTAATCTTTCGCGCAATGTGATAGTTACTGTATCTCGAGACTGCATAAACATGATGGGGAAGATTCGTAGCATTCGTTTGAAGCTCACACATTGCAGGAATAAACATATCTCAATTATATTGCATAGTTAATGATACCCAGTGTCAAGTTTAAATTTATGCATGGGGTATGCATATGTCGAGGCCATATATAGGCCATGAGTCATTTTCTATCGCGGGTGTATAAATGTTCCCATCGGAAAGTTCCTCTCCGCATCACGTGCGATTGGTATGATCGGCGCACCTGCTACCTAGCAGTGTTGTCCGTCTGTTGTTCAGACTTAGTGCGAAAACGAAGCTCCACTCAAAATGTTGATAGTCCTCACAGAACAACTGTTGGTGACTGACTTCCATTATCGGCTTCTTGGAGCGTGTCCTGCCTCCCACTATCATTGTTGGTTCCGTTTAGCTCATTTACTCGTCTGATCTTGAATACCGCATTTGTATGCAACCGAGCGACTTTTACTTAACTTTCTTTGCCTACTTTCATATTTTATTTCCCTGCTACACAGCTTTAAGGAGAGTATGAGGGATCCCTCGTGTCATGGTTTTGTGCGAATGATCAGAGCGTTTTGCGATGACATGGAAACGCACCCCCCGACCATCGTAGATATGCAATCCCGATACATAGCGTTTACCGGTATGTGTATTCTGATACACTCAACCCCACCATCTAGCGATGACTGTTTTTTTTCTGGGTGACTTTTTGGTTGCTTCCCAGTTCATGTCATCGGCGAATCATAGGTTAAATTGTGATATAACTTTCATGCAATAGCACCTTCATGTCAGCGCGCTCCTTGTCAACGATTGCTTTATACAATCGAGAGTAGAGTCCTTACCGTTTCTATGCCATTTGTACACTCGTACCTTACGAATATATCACATTATTTTGTGGTAGAGGCTATATGTATATAAGGGTTTATATAGGTACGTGTTCAATGCTGATCAGAAATACCCCTAGTTTTCATGTTCTGAAATGCATTGGAATTACATTGTATGACTCACCGCAGCCCAGCCCACGGTGGGGCCATTCAACATGTTGCTGATAAGAATGTACTTACTTCAAACCGACAGTCACAATGGAGGAGAAGTTCAGTACACACCCCTTATTCAAAGATTCCATGGAGAGCACCATGGAGTCGTTAGAGAAGTATGTATGTGTGCAGACATACACCAGTATATACAGACCCCCAGAAGACGAAGAAATAGACACGTGGCTGGGCAGGCGTATAGATATGCTAACCTTCTTAACGCCGGAGAATTTAGGTATGGTTTGATCCACACCCATGATTATTCTATATATATATATATATATATCCACTTAGCATATATGTACTCTCTTTGGCTGTCGTATTGTGTAAAATCACCTATACAACAGCTTTCAATGGGGATGTTCGCATTTGTTCTGGCGGATATACATTTTTTTAACATCAGGATAAGAAATTTGGTACCAATAATTAAGTCTCCATAGTGTTCACGATTAATCAAACTTACAAATACGAGTATATATTCTTATATATATATATATATATATATATATTATGTGTATGTATATATGTATGTATGTATGTCTGTATGCATTTATGTACGTATATATGTGTACATGTATGTATGATAATATGTATATATGTATGTTCGAATCCTACATACATATATATTCACATCCATACATACATACATACCCTACGTACAAACACATACATATATACACGCACAAACAAATAATATATATATATATAAATATGTGTATGTATGTATGTATATATATATATGTGTGTGTGTGTGTGTGTGTACATATATATATATATATATATATATATATGTACATCTATATATATATTATATATATATATATATA